AAGTTAAGCCCATGGTGTTGATACTCCTAAAATTAAAAACAAAAACAACAACAACAAAATACATAATAACAGACAGAAACAACAACGATTGTGACCGTCATATGTTGGCTGGCTACTCATATGAGAACGATCCTTGGCTCAGGGTCTCACCATGTCGTGTACACGAATATAGACATAATATAATTTCGCTTACACAAATATCCATTGGGATACCATGAGTGAAGATTGTTGCCTGAGAATTATTAAAAATTACATTGGTGTATCACCCTTTCGAATTGTCCATCCTTCATGTTCTGTTAAGGGATATTGGAGTAACCTCTTGTAATCGTACAAATCATAACAGGGTGATTCATTGTAATTTTACGTAAAGGGTGTGACCCTTCTGAACTTGTCCATGCTACTTGTACTACGAATCATTGTACACTGGTTAAATTGTCCACGTTATTTACGGTATCAAGAATACATGGAAGGTAACATTTGACAAACTGTCATTGGTGGGATTGATAAAGTGATGATCCCCGACAGGTCTGAAAACATTGCAGGTAGGTTACTCCTGAAATTATTTAGTTAGCAAACTAGCGTGTTGTATTATCGAATAGTATGAAATTGTTAGTCCAAGGGCTTTGTACTATGAAACCGGATTTCCGGGAATATATCAATGTATGTATTGGAATGTATCTCAATGTGTATGTTAGGTTGCGGTCAACCAAATCCACTTGTTGCAAGACTAATAATAGGAATAATTATCTCGTATATTTACTGAACGTTCAGAACAAGGCCCGGATCCCTGCGTCACAGCATCCAAGAGTGTGGGGACACACTCTTCGCCAGAACGGGGGTCGTATTATAGGCACGAAAGCGTAATACATATTTAGTTAATAAAAGGGTAGTTAAATCAATAGGTCATAGAAATAAGAGGGAATATATACCAGATAATATAACAAGAATTGGCACCATCTCAGAGTGTGGGGACACACTCTTCGCCAGAACGGGGGTCGTATTATAGGCATAAAAGTACAGTAATTAACAACTAATTAAAGTAATTAACAATTCATTAGGACACCTCCGTGATTGTATATAAAGGTCAAGAAGAGGAGTTGAAACCAGTAAGATGTAAACATAACACATTGATATATATATAGGAGACGGGCAGCTCTGATAGTTGAAGACTACGGGAGCATACTTGGCCACGAGTAACCAGGGGTGAGGGTAGTAGGTCGAGGGCTATACATAAATGAAAAACAAGTGGAACAGAGATGAGAGGGACGGAAACGTCAGGGTCTTGAGACATATATGGTATTGGGGGGGAATAGTTCGAATTCCAAAAGGGTGAGAAGCTACATCATGGCAAGTCCGAATAAGGTGCTGGTTATTAGATAAGAGTGGGTTAGAATGATCTAGTGTAGGGGGGAAAGGTGGCTGACCAATGATAGATGGAAAAATGAGTAGAGCTGTGACGTAGGTACCGGTTTAAAAAGGGGCAAAAGCCCCAAATCAAAAAAACGGCTAAGAACGAAGAGAGAACGGCTAGACAACGGTTAGAGAGCGGCTAGGTAGCGGCTGCGGCTGGGGAGACTACATCTGGACTGGTGCTCCGCTCTCGGCTTGTTGTCATGATCTTTCGAACCAGAAACCAAACCTAGGCACCAGCATTTCGACTCAGACTGAAGCTTTGCGGCAGAAGTCTCATAATTAAGTGACAATTAGAGTGGGTTGACCGGCAACACAAAGTTGGAATAAAAGCTGTTAAACGAAGATCACTCTTTGTGCTTGTTGGAGGAATTACGGTAATAGGTCCAAGGCCCTCGGGTACTGACATTGTACCTCTCGCTCATCCCAGACAGTCAGCACCAAAGAACGAGGGGATTACCGTAGTTCAGGTGAAGAGGTACACCGATTGCCACTTGATTGCCACTTCCAATTAACACCTGTAATTAAGGGGCGAAAAGTACCTTGGATATTAATACCATGACAAATGAACCCAGACATATATATTAAATTGTACACACATAATAAAAGAAACCAAGTTAATAAAATATACACACTTTCAATAATACACACAATGAATAACTAAAACAAATTCGGCCATAATCATAACCTGAAATCTGGGCCTGAATGATATGACATGATAGATAATAACTAATACTTACAAGTTGATGTGTTTCAACTAAATATCCAAAGAATATCCATTGTGAATTTATAATATCCCTATCCAAAAGTAAAAAGGGCTCCAAACACCAACATGAATACACACTTCTCTCACATCAATGCTGGGCCCCATGGCGACGGAGTGCACTGAGTGCCCTTGTGGCACACAACTTGCACGTGCATGAACAAGTCACATAAGTCTCACAACTCGTCAGATTCATATGCATTCGTTACAGTCCCAAGAATTATAACATTCACAATATTTTGCATAATATAAAAGTGGCTGAAATTGTACATAATCTGCAACATCAAATCCAGTTTTATATTTTGATAAAGCCTATAGCTAAGAAAGTGGTGTTACACCTTATCTCGTAGACTATAATTACAGTTTTCTGGTAACTCGTACTTTATTGGATGGTATTTTGTTATGATGCAAAAAGTTTACTGCCAGAATGTTTAGTCATATTTTTGCCATGTAGACGATGGATTGTGTGGGTCCCTGGTTTCCAATACCACCTCTATACCGAACACTCTCGCAGCACACTCTGGTCCAGAGTTTTTCCACTTGTCTGATGGATGTAGCTTGGCGACTTAGAATAGACCCTGTTTCTTCAACATGGGTGGGCGATTGGTCTGCATAGTTTTGTTTGATCCATTAGATATTTGACGTGCATCTAGTACAGCTTCCCTGTTCATTCATATGAATGTAGCAATGCTGCTTCAAGAAGTTCCAGGACAATGTTGACATTGGTATTCTGAGATTGATAATTTGTGCACAACTTTGAAATATAAGTCTCTTACTCTGTCCTCATCGAACTTTCTTAGAACACCTTCCATATTCTCCTGAGGGGTTTCGGTGATCCCATAAAAAACAGTAGGTTTGGTTTTCGATCATGAATGTCCTTTCACACAAACTGCTTTTCTAAACATTTTGTTTTATTTCGTTAATTTCTGATTTCACAGAGTCAATAGAAGACGGAATATCAGTATTCCTAGCACATATAAGGTCGGCTAAACGTTGTTCAAAAGCTTGTTTTTCCGTCGGGGCGGTTGACCTTGATGACTCTCGCATCTTGAATTTTCTCAAGTTTCCAATATTTTTTACAACTGTTTTATTAATAATGTTTTTCTACCCACCATCTGTTGAGTATAATCTTGTTAACAGGTTTTAACGGGTTAGTTTTATAGGATTAGATGGATGAAATCCATGGGTAAGAGAGAGCCTGTTAAAAACATGTCTACCCTTGAGTAGCAAAAACTTGCTGTAAACCAAACACATCTTGTTTTGTGATATGATAACTTAGAGGAATGCTTTTAAGTTCTAATATAAAACCACTTTAATATTTGTAGAAATTGGATTACCGTGATCACATGTTATTATTGTTGGCATGAAGGAGAGATGAGGTGATGTGAATTGAAATGGGTTTAACTTAGTTCTAGCATACTGAATTATCATGCTGCAGTGTAACATGGATACCCCACTCACACACAATACACTGTCTCTGAGCCAACAAGTCCTTGGTTTATCCCCTTGTTGCTGGAGCCAGGCAGAGAAACAAAAAGTGCCATCTTTTAACATCTTTTGGTATGACACGACTGGGAATAGAACAACTAACCTTCAAAGTTGGAAGTTCCAACTACACCACAAGGGAGGATAGGCACAAAGGGGATTTTCTCCCATATACAAACTAATACAAACCAAACAATTGATTTCTTCTGGAAGATTAAACTCAATGTAATACAAGACAACTCTTACATCTACTGGTGTCAATGAATCTGAAGTACAGCCTGTTGGAAACAGACAGAGAGTTGTCACTTGTTCTCCACCGTTTTAAGACACAGATACTGTGTTGACTGTCGAGATGTTTCGGATCACATCTACAGCGTACACCCGACAACAAGCCAAAGAGTGAAGCATGCACTCCATCTCACATCATGTACGTATGGACTCCTCATGCGCAGTGGGCGCTAATTGGAATGTGCATGTTCCTGCTATAACCAATACTTATTTCCTCCCAAAAGGAAAAGGATCAGTGAACAGACCCTTTAATTAGTTAAGAAGATCTTTTCTGTACAAATAAGTGACAGTATCAACAACAATATGGTACCGCAACAAGTCACATCATCCATGAAATATATATTCATGTACAAATCTTACCACACTAACAGTTTGCATAAAATTATCATAATCAGGTGATGTCTTTATACCAATGGCATCGTAAACTATATTTTAAATGGTCATGCATAAAAAAACCAAATAGGTATAAGGAAAGGCGACAGGGTTTTTTGAGCCATTTGTGCACTGTATTTTCAGATGGCCCTCCATAATTGTCCTTGTAATATTTTTTTGGGATGACCCACCTTGAAAATATAAAATGTAAAAGCACTTCATATTTTACTTTTATATATACATTTGTTTCATGACCCTCACGAGTATATGATTATTTCTTATGACCCTCCCCAAGAGACTTATTTCTGAGTGACCCTCCCCTGATTCCCTCTGACACACCCCTATAATAAATGAACGGTCCCTCAACAATATATGTTATACTGCCATGCAAGATAAAAAATTGCTTAAATATTAGAGGCAGTAATAACATTTCAACATTTTAAAGTACATCGTATACCATTTTGAAACAGCTACATGTCGGCATCGTGAGATATTCTGCCATACACACTGACTTGCCAGCATATATATAGAGAGTGTCAGACACGGCATGCACTAAACTACTGTTTACAACAATATATTGTATCATGACAGTTAGATGACGGTCGTCTGTCAACCTACTCTCTGAGCAGATAGTAGATATATGCCACTGAAAGACATGTTACTGAGATACAATGTATCTTACCGTACCCAGCAAGGATGTAGCAATATCGATCCACCGAAATCTGTAACAACGTTCTTCCCAATGACAGCTGATGGCAGCAACACAGCCTTCTCTGAAACCACCTGAAGAAGTGACGACAATACATAAAATCCGGACTCAGGAGGAACTCCCTTTTAGTACAAATGTTGGAATATGGTTACTTAAAGTAGGAACCGGATTTGGATCTGACAATATGTTTTCATTAACATCAACCTATTTAAGCGGTTGATCCAGAGTTTCACTTCTTTCAAATGTTACTCAGGATACGATTTTTATGTTTTCCGTTCACGGAGGGTTTTGATAATCAATGGCCTCGGTTGGTCGACATAAAGAATAGATTTCTAAATGTAACTATTTTCACAGTATGGTTAGACAAAAACACAGTCCGAAAATAAAGATATGCATAAGGTCTAGGAAGGAATTTAACTCTCAATTCTCTTTGGAGCTGAAGGCGGAAAGCTGGCAGGAGAAGGGATGTGAATGTCCCACCAGCTATATGATGGTCTGTAAGAGAGACTACAATGACGTATAGTATTAGCATGTACTTTTGTCAGAGACGGCCTACATTTCTCCATAATTTAATTACTGTCTCCAGAGACCATATATTAGATCAATTATTTGTTGAAAACATAGTGGTTACGTTTTTAATAAACTTTTGTAATGTGCATCAAATATAGTGTTGTGGTTTTTGTATTTTATTTTCTGAGTTTATTTTTGACTGACTCCGGTCGCTCGAATCCGTAAACCTAAAAATAAACAAACTATCCCTGTGCAATTGAAATATAGTCCCAGCAAATGTGACGTCCTTTTGTCGTCGACGCCGAACGGCTCATTTTTATTAATTGTTACCAATTTAGCTTTTTTAGTTCATGGTAGAACTAAAAATGAAACTATGAATGCAAAAGATATTGTTTTAAATTGATATCTTAAAGGTATAAGGTCGGTAGGGTGGAACATGAAATAAATTATATGAAGAAATCTATTTCTGGCAGAGTTACTTCCCTTCCCATGTCAATCTAACTGTTATAAAAAAAACAATTCAGTTAAGTATAAGAGGACTTATTCTGTTCGGTTTCGTATATTGTATCATATTTTCATATCCAGGTCCCAAGACTGCGGGGAAGAATGTTCAGTGTGCCCAGTGCATTCAGGGTTGTATAAAAACTGACTAATGGAGATTGCGTTGTCGCAGTGCATGCGACCGATGCGATTCTCACCGGGCCCTTTCTTCAACCAACCCTCGATGGTCTAGTCCCAGGCTTGATTGGATCATGCTGAAATACACTCCGAACACGGCCTAAATAAGGACATTTGCTCACAATTGGGGGAGTTAATCTGCAACAGCTCTGGTTTGGCCCGACTCGGTTAATCACTCCGAATTTATATTCCAGTTCTATTCAGCCAATCACCTTGCAGAGAAAGGGCGAGCGTATTCATATTATTGCTTAAATATGTTATAAGAACTATTAACATATCGTAAATAGTGTGTAAAATGCTGAAGTGTGATCTTAGTGCTTATGGTTAAGTGGCTGGCAGCGACCAAGTTGGAATAATACTGTATAAGTCTGTTTTGTCTTTGGTCTGCTTATTACAATTATAAACTTTCGATTCACGTCACGCAACACCCTGTTTGGAGGCAAACTATATATTCCCGTGAGTCGTCAACGTGCGACAATGAAATGTACAAATGCTTGGGGATAGAGTAATATAACTGCTAGTACTTGATTTGGTCACGTTACAAAATTAACTATATTAATATTAAATCGTTTCAATCTACTAGTATGACTAAATCGTCTATTGAATCCTTCCTTTTTGATCCAGTAATATTTCTAAATATATAGCGCTTAAATGCCACTTCCTCACAACATATGTGCGCCTTTTGGTGGTAGTTTACATTTAACTATATGTATATGTGAACTACATGTGATTAATCGAGATAAGAGAGAGAGAGAGGGGGTGGGGTGGGGGGGGGGGGGTGGGGGGGGGGTATTTATTTAGAGCCCATTTCGAAGAGCACGACGGTAAAGTAACCGTCAAGATCCAGGATAGAACAGGTTTTCAGCAACCCATATACTTGCAGTAAGAGACGATTGCTCACTGGATTGTCTGGTCCAGACTCGATTATTTATAAACCGACGTCAAATAGCTGGAATATTGCTGAGTGCGGCGTTAAACAACAAACAAACAAGCAACGGTAAAATAGCCGTCCAGTAAAATTATTCTCAAGAGCCAGAGAAATGATGTGCTAATTATGAATGCAAAAGAAGGGGTTGAAGCGGTGCTGTCACTTTTGAAACGAGAATGGTTCTAGGGTATTAATCATATGGAAAAACAATGCACTTGATACAATATATTGATGTATCGCATACTTATATATGTATATATTACTATAATGATATATGGTATACGTATATATGTATACATTACTAAAATGATATATGGTATACTTATAAATATTACTATAATGATATATGGTATACTTATTATGTATATAATACCCATCAGAAATCGTAGGTTTCGCCTATACTTCCGTCTCTGAAATAGTGTGATTATCAACAGGTATTACCTTTGTTTGTTTTTGTGATGGATCACACGATACTTACTTAGCTTTTTTTTATACAACTTTGCCAAGCGAAAAGCAATGGGTGGTCATGCTGCCAACAGTGTGAAACGCTTGTCATTCTTCACCGTGTGTGTTTCATACCTCGGCCATATGCACCTCTTCCTCTCTAAATGTGTGAAAGCGCGCATAGACACAGTACCGTGCACTTACATGTAGGTTCTGGTTGTAATATTGAAATTGACAGACTTGCATACAACTAATTCTTTTATTTTCGGTCCAAATTAAGTGTTATGAATAATCATGGACAATTAACAGTTAGATTTTAAAAAAAACAGAAACAAATTCATGTTGTGCCTATACATGACTGGCTGTTGGCCTATTTAGACTGGCTGTTGGCCTATTTAGACTGGCTGTTGGCCTATTTAGACTGGCTAATACCTGGATACAATGTCCTGAACGACATGTGTTTCTTCTTCTTTTACAGCCGCTTAGAGCAACGCTATTAAAATGTGTGAGTTGAATTCTACGTCTTTTTAGCAATAGTTCAGATATAGCGAAGCAGGGGGACATCATATATTAAGTCACCCGTAAAGATCCGGGGTAGAATAGGTCTGCAGCAACCATCGTAAGAGGCGACTAACGGGATCAGATGGTCAGGCTCGCTGACTTGGTTGATGCATATCATCGTATCCTATTACTGCGTGGATCGATGCTAATGATGTCAATCACTGAATTGTCTGGCCAGATTCGATTATTTACAGACCGCCATCATATAACTGGAATATTGCTGAGTGCGGCGTTGAACAACAAACAAACAAACAAACAACATAAATTAGTTTACATCGAACCGGGTCCTGGGCTTATTCAGCCAACGCTTCAACCACTATATAAGCAACCCACCGTCTATGATATATGTTACAGATAACATTGGGTGTGCTTCTTGTATTCCTCGATTAAGAGTAGAACGTTCATCTTATTTTAAGATGTAAGATAACGAGGATAATAATCAAACGGTTCGTATATTAAAGAATTTAGAGGAGGGTAGTTGGAGAATATGCCTACTTGATATACGCGAGATATATGTCAGCTAATTGTTCAGTGGATAAATAAAATGTACATCATTTTGTGCATTTAAACAACTGCAAGTATACCAACGTCTTTTGAATTAATGATCCTTCTGGATAATGAAATAACGGGGAACTGAATTGCACCTAGTCTGTCATACAGACCCTGAAACAAATATATCCACTACATCCCATCAGAGACCATATAATAGGTCTCTGATCCCATGCAAGTCTTTAATGTTTGGCAAGACTAGATTACTGCAGTATCAGGAATGAAGAGAGTCTCTAGGCTCCTTTTTATTATATTTTTATTAAGATAATTTCACAACTGTTTTTTTTCTGTAAATCTGTCCATTTCAGAGACTAGATGTTAGTCTAAGTTGCACCTGAAATAATAAAATAACCTCAAACGTTTTGAGAGCAGCCCCTTTGCTCTCGCCAACAGGTTCGCCTTCCTTTAATGGCACTACGCATGCGCAGATGACTCATAGGCAGCCATTACACAGAAGACTTTGACATGTCAGCGATAATATAAACTAGTAGACTTCGAAATACAATGGAATTAACATTATCACGTAAGTTTTAGATCAGTTTCTGTCATTAACCCTTGCATGCATTGGGGCTGTTATAAAGAGTACGCTTTAGCAATGCGATCAGAGAAAGATAATCGCAGGAACAACACAATTTGGAAATATCCAAAAGTTTTGCACTCGCAGAGTCTGTGGGGGTGGGACTGCCTTGCATGGGACCCTGGATTACAAGATCATTTACTCTAATACCTCTAGTGTTGATTCTAACAAATGTCTACAAATAACAGTTGAAATGACACGCTTGAACTGTACTAGTACCAACTGTGTTGGAATTTGGATACCATGTGTCACTCAAAATCCAAGTAAACAATCAATGGGCTCAGTCTGGTGCTTTTGTGGCTTACAGAGATTATCTCAGCTAGGCTCGAACGTTGACAGTTTCATTCTTGTAGACAGTAATAAAATCAGAAAGTTGGCTATTACTTTCTGTGAAGACTCAGTGAACAGTCATTAATGCTTGATTATAGGTTCATTTGCATGTATACTACATTTCAACAAAATAACCATAACCATGATAACATGCACATTTTGATAGTAATTTGTTGTTTTTGGTAATGTTCAATTAATATTACTACTTATGTGTTTACCTCTTCCACAACATGACAAGGTAATACATTTATGGTGATGATATTTACTCTAAATTGGAAGAGGGTGATGAATCAAATTTAGAGGGGTGATGAATCATCTTATCACTTTTTCACGACTGAATCATATTTCTGGGCCAATGCTTGTATGTAGGGCACATCTCATTTCTTCGTAATGATATTGCTGATTGTTTTTTTTAAGAAAGCAATTTTTCGTGCATACTCAATTAATGACAAGTGTTGCTATTTTGTCAGTTTTGACTGGCATCTACAATTTTTGTTTGTTTTTATTGTTTATATCATTTATGTATTCAAGCATTCGTTATGTTCATGAAAAGCCATTGCAATAAGCAACACTCCGGTAACGGGTGATTGCAGTTTGCAGTAGCAGATAATTTGTTCAGTGTTACAATTTGCAAAGTGTCCCCCGTCAGCTTAATAGTCCATTGTGTGTATTACATGTACATGATGTATATTCAGTTTGTTTGTTGTTTAATGCCGCACTCAGCAATATTCAAGCTATATCAGTGGTCTGTAGATAATCGAGACTGGACCAGACAATCCTGTGATTGACATCATGAGCATCGACTCATGCCATTGGGATACGATAACATGTATCAACCAAGATAGTCAGTAGTGTACGTTGACTGAGTTGGTCAGTTTTACAATCAAGGTGTTTAAGTTCATATTATACAGGATTAGAAGTTAACTTGTTTACTTAGCATCTAGATTTTGATCAAGTTGAATTTTCATGTCTTTTATAGCAAAATGATCTAAAAAAGAAACTAAAAAATGCTCTTGAGACAGTTTCCAATATCCATGATATTTACCACTGTTGCACGGCTCCAACTAATCTTTAGCCATGTGTATATATTTATGTATAAAGAAGTAAGCTGATGTGTTTCTCACCACCCATCACCTGAAGAAATATATTTGAAACTATGTTTCCTACAAACATAACAAATAAAGAAACCTGAAATCTTCAAATGGAACAAAAATTATCCAATGGTTACTTTACCATCCCCTATGCCTATTGGTCTATTTAAAGCCATCTACTTTAGTTAGCAGATTAGAACTACATAATTTGATTTCATGTTAAGAATTGACTGAGATGAGAATATGACACTTGTAGATATGAGTGGTTCGGAAACATATCTGTGATATTGTGTAAAGCAGTATTTAAACCTATTCAAACGGTTGGTTCTTTGATCTGAACAGTGTCGATGGGGTAGCCTAGGATAGTGGGTTAGGCATTTGCATGTCATACTTAAGAACTAGGTTCAGTTCCCAAAATGGATAAATGTGTTACTCTCTCTTTGTTTCCTGAGCTAATAATGCTCTGCTGTAAGTCTAATGCTTGGTAGACTTCACATTGACAAGTCAAATTGGCTCTATTTGATTCATACTACATCAATCGTAGCAATGTTTAAGTAGGCTAGTGCATTAATTTAGCTGAGCTGTTGAAATATAATTACATTGAGATAGTCATAAGGTTGTGTCCCTGACCCTTGAGCAGAACATTTTGCTAGATTTTTGCACATTTTTCTCCCAATTTGACTGTTTATTATTTTTCTTATGACATTTTTTCATGTCATTCGATAACTAGTAGAATGATCAATAACTGTACTTAATTTTGTTTTATTATTTTCACAAATAACGCTTGTAGAGACATTTTTGTGCAACATGCAGAAATCCATGGTCCACTGACAGGCCGTCACGCATACGAGTGACCCCCTCTCAGGTGGTCACTTGCACGCGAGACGGGAGAGCCGTCTCGCGTACACGTTACGTCCTCTACTGTTGAGTATAAATTAAGAAAGGAGTCCAACTCAAGTCTAGAATGATTTGGCAAGTTTAGACTGATTCAGCTCTAGGAAATTAGCTCTGAAATAAAGGATTGTGCTATATGGTGGTCATCTTTGTGGAGCCATTCGAAATAAGAACAGCAAACTGATTGGATATCGCATTTTCATCCCAAGGGACCCAACTCTTGTTCTACATGGGGTGGTGCCACGATTGAGGCAAGAAAAGTAGGCTTGAAATGGCAAGAGTATAAACTAGGCTTTGATTTGGCTAGTGGACACTTTTGAGTCAGGAAGAAGTTGTAAGTTGCCATTTTAATGGGTTTTTGTCTGTTATCATTGTAAGGACTGGTGGGATAAATATGTTAGTTTCTATTGCTGTGATAGTTTGAGGACATTCTATACTGTTAGTGTTGATTCCTTCCATTTACTTTCATTTCCTGATAATCTGAATGGAATTCTGAAGCTATGTTGTTGTGTGCTACATTTTTGTGGTGAGCTTTAAGGTAATAATAATGTTTTAACATGTCTGTTTGACTGTACGGACCAGTACAGAGTTTCAGCTGCTGACACAACCAATAATCCTAACTTAACTGAAAAGGAATAATCCTGCTCCTTACTGCCCTACAGGATTAAAATTTGGAAATAAAATCAAGGAAATATAATGCATGTTAAATTATTTTGAAGGGATATTGTCAAGCAAAGGTAGGAAATATCATGAATAAATACCTACAAATGACCATGATGAAATGACGTGTACATGGTGTAGATGCAAGTTGCAGTTTCCAAAGTATTAACAGTATTAAGTAATTTCTGTTAACATGAAAGTGCTGGTGTAAGATAATTTGTAAACTGTTTTGAGAGGTGGTAGGAAATATGTGGTTCAGCAACATTCGACTTCTATCACTGCAGCCTGTAAACAACAATCCATACAGTCAGAGTACAGTTTTGCCTGACACAGACTTGATTATTTCTAGCTCCTAGTGACCACCTCTGTAGTCTAGTGGTAGAGCATCCGCCCAGGGGAGCAGAAGGTCATGAGTTCGATCCCTGGAAGCGTCCTTACGTTATTATATGGTACTTGTTGTTACCCTGCCTGTTGCTAAGGGCCTAAAGCAAGTACTGGACGGCTCAGAGTCAGTATACTGTGTCTGAGTGGGGTATTCATGTGGGTTGGCACTATTAAATCAGCATTCGCCTGGACTAGTACACGCAGCCACTCGTACACATACACATGCATACACGTCGCTGTGTAAGTGCAATAATCTTGGACACAACACTAAAGCACATTGCACCTCACCTCTAGCTCCTAGTGATAAAGCTGGCATATTGATGATGGCCTTGTTCAAGATGATTCACAGATAACTCCTCAGGAGCTTTCATGATAAACTGTGAAAACATCTTCTCGGTTATTGTGCCATTCAATGTTTTAATTGTTTTTTGAGTTGATAAAAAATAATGGTCTTGCATTGAAAACATCCATTTCTCATGGAATTTGCCAGCCCTTAACCCATGGTACCTGGTTGTATTGGCATTTCAAATGCTCTGCTGCGGGATATGTCACATTTCCTAAAATACCTTGCAACTTTATCCTTCTTCAAATGCTGATGTATGTAAGAAATTATCTCCAGATGTTCAAATTGTGTGTGAGTTCAGCAATGTTCAGACTCTTGTGTTTTTGTGAAACCTGGCATTCTCCTCCTAGCACCTATGTTTGAGTTTGAACTACCTCACCAGTAAACGTATATTCTAAAGAAGGGGTAGTTTGAGATTGCTGCGAGTTTCCATGCATGCTGAAAGATGTGGCCGACTGTGCTATCAGTATCAAGGTGTGGAATGTCTGGAGTATCTGTTTAGGGAATGTGTGTGAAGAAAATTCACAAATTTTATCAAATGAAAATATTATGTACAGTGTCCTTTGTCATGACATGCATCTCAGGATAGTTGTAAAAATGGAAGTACTTTTTGTGTATTAGTAAGAAGTAATAAGTGTGCAAGTCCTGGTGACTTCCTGTCCTGATTTATGAACTATGAACTATCATTAGGATTAACTTTGTTGAGGCCTAATAAAATTAATTTCTTGTTTGACTTCTTGTCTTGGTTAGTATGTTAAGAGGCAGGAGGCAAAAATAGAATGCTGTCAGTAAAAGTGTCAGGGTTGATTTGGGCATGTTGAGGTAAATTTCTTAAACAAATCTCTTTGTTTCAATCAAACACACTACTTACATTTTGTTAAATTTAGGAAAGGCTCACCAGTAAAGGCTCGCCAGTAAATCAAACAATGTTTATGTTGGTTTTGTAATGCTTGTTGTAATTGTATGGTGTGGCTGATTGTGTCTTGATGTATCTAGGCCTGCACGCAGGCCAATATTTGGCCCTATGTCTGCAGCAAATATCAGTAAATATTCCCAAATTAGAATGACAAATTTGCCAGTTGTAACATACAATGATACACACACACACACACACACACACACACACACACACACACACACACACACACACACACACACACACACACACACACACACACACACACAGCACAGGTGACTTGTATATCACTGACCAATTGAGCAAAAGAACAATTCTTTCCAAATTG